TTTTTTCCTCTTCTGGTGTGTGTGTGTCTTGCTGCTGCTGCTGATCGCCCAGTATTTATACGAACCCAACGCTCTTTGTTTCCCCTCCTTTTGGATCTGTTGAGTTTCTTTGTTGAATAAGACAGCATGGGTGCCCAGTTCTCCAAGACCGCTGCAAAAGGCGAAGCCGCCGCTGAGAAACCTGGAGAAGCAGTGGCTGCCTCTCCATCCAAGGCAAATGGACAGGTAAAAAAAAAAAAAAATTAAATCTACTAATTTTTAAGCCGACTTCGACGGACTCTCCTTTGCATCCTGCTTAATTCCTCTTCCTTTGATGCCTCAGTGGCACATTCAATGGAGAATACGCTCAACCCTTTATCTTTGTGCAACTCGAGGCAAAGGAATAATATCTTTACGTTTTAGCGCGGGCTTGGCTCTGGATGCTTTATTTCTTTTATCTTTCCTGCGTGGGGGGAGCACCGCGGGGGGTGAGCATCGTTGGTTTAAAAAAGAAAATGGGAAAGAAAGAAAAATCCGAAATCCCTCGTGTACCCACGACGGGTGCCCACGGCTTATGAACGGGAGGATCTAACGCTGCGCGGTTCTGTTGCCCKCGGGAGCAGCGCGGGCTGCGCCGCTCCGCGCCCCTGCGGGCGCCCCCTCCTCGGCCGTGGGGCAGAACGGGGTGGGGGTTGGGGGCTGGCGAGGCGATGGCCGCGGTGGGTCGAGGGAAGCTCCGTGTGTCYCCTCAGCCCGCGCCGCGGCTCCCGCAGCCGCGCGGCTCCGCGCTCCTCCTTGGAGATGCGCGGGCGGCGCGGGGGCCCCTTCGAGCGACGCGCCGCCGAAGGCGGAGGAGGAGGAGGAAGGGGGGGGGCGCGAGGGGCTCTATCCCCCCTCCCCAGCCCCCCCTCCCCTCCGCGCGGCGGGGCGGGGGTCGCGGGCGTCGCGGGCTTTGTTCCCCTCCTCCCCCGCCGCGGCGGGGCTGGACGGGGCGCGCCGGGGCCGCCGCTGGAGCCGCAGCGCCCTCTGCCGGTCCCGCGCGGCGCCGCCGCGGCCCCCGGCGCCGTCGGGGAGCGGGCAGCGGAGGAGGGGCGGGCAGCGGGAATCGCTTCGAGTGTTTATGCCTTAAAATGTCGCATGTGGGGGGAGGGAAGGGCGCTCGGGCCCGGCCCCGCGGGGGTCGTGCCGCGCCGGCGCCGCTGCCGTCGCTCGCCCCCGGTAACGCCGTGGCTCTCTTGCAGGAGAACGGCCACGTGAAGGTGAACGGCGACGCGTCGCCCGCCGCGGCGGAGGCGGGCAAGGAGGAGGTGCAGGCCAACGGCAGCGCCCCCGCCGACGAGGCGGGCAAGGAGGAAGCGGCCTCGTCGGAGGCCGCCTCCGAGAAGGAGGCGGCCGAAGCCGAGAGCACCGAGCCGGCCTCGCCCGCCGAGGGAGAGTCCTCCTCGAAGGCCGAGGAGGGCGCGACGCCCTCGTCCAGCAGCGAGACCCCGAAAAAAAAAAAGAAGCGCTTTTCCTTCAAGAAGTCCTTTAAGCTGAGCGGCTTCTCCTTCAAAAAGAACAAAAAGGAGGCCGGCGAGGGGGCGGAGAGCGAGGGCGGCGCCGCGGCGGCGGCCGCCGAGGGCGGGAAGGAGGAGGCGGCGGCGGCGGCGCCCGAGGCGGCAGCGGGCGGCGAGGAGGCCAAGGGCGGCGCCGAGGAGCCGTGCGCGGGCAGCGCCGACGACGCCAAGGAGGAGACGGGGGACTCGCAGGAGGCCGCGCCGGCCGAGCCGTCGGCCGAGAAGGCGCCGGGCGAAGAGGCGAAAGCGGCGGGCGAGGAGCAGCAGAAGGGCGAGGCCAAGGCGGAGGAGGCCGGCGGCGCCGCCACGAGCGAGGCGCCCACGGGCGAGCAGGAGGCGGCCGAGGCGGAGGAGCCCGCGCCGCCCACGCAGGGCGCCGCCGCCGAGAGCAGTCCGGGCGCGGCGGCGGCCCCGGCGGCGGAGTAAGCGCGGCGGCCCGCGGCCCGGCGGCGGACTTTTCTCCCCCCCTGTTTGTTTGTTGGAGTGGTGCCAGGTACTGGTTTCGGAGAACTTGTCTACAACCAGGGATTGATTTAAAAGATGTCTCTTTTCTTTTTCTTCTCTCCCCGCAGATCCCATCTCAAATCATTCTGTTACCACCATTCCAACGGGCGGAGGAGGGCCTAAGCCAAACTCTCCGCCTCGCTCCTCCTTCTCTGTTTTGTTTTTTTAATTTTTTATTTTTTCGGTTTTCTTTTTTTTCTTTTTTTTTTTTTTTGCATCAGTATTAATGTTTTTTGCATACTTTGCATTTTTTTTTACTCAAAATGTAAACTTTTCTTTGTCAGTCTATGGACATGCCCATATATGAAGGAGATGGGTGGGTCAATAAGGGATATCAAATGAAGTGATAGGGGCCACAGTGGGGAATTAGCGGTGCACATCCATTGCCAAGCGAATGTGCCACAAGCAGTGACGTAAGGGGTTAGTCTTTTTTTAAAAGAAAAGTTATTACAATGTATTTTGTGAGGCAGATGTTCTATAAGGTTTACAACACTACAAGTCTTGATTAAGAAGGAAAGGAAAAAAAAATCAATACCCAGATAAAGAGATCATAGTCTTAGGAATTCATTTAAACCATAGGAACTTTTCACTTATCTCATGTTAGCTGTATCAGTCAGTGATTAAGTAGAAATACAAGTTGTATAGGCTTTATTGTTTATTGCTGGTTTATGACCTTAATAAAGTGTAATAATGTATTACCAGCAGGGTGTTTTTAACTGTGACTATTGTATAAAAACAAATCTTGATATCCAGAAGCACATGAAGTTTGCAACTCTTTCCACCCTGCCCATTTTTGTAAAACTGCAGTCATCTTGGACCTTTTAAACACAAATTTTAAACTCAACCAAGCTGTGATAAGTGGAATGGTTACTGTTTATACTGTGGTATGTTTTTGATTACAGCAGACAATGCTTTCTTTTCCAGTTGTCTTTGAAAATAAAAGAAAACTCTTCAGATGCAATGGTTTTTTTGTGTAGCATCTTGTCTATCATGTTTTTGTAAATACTGGAGAAGCTTTGACCAATTTGACTTAGAGATGGAATGTAACTTTGCTTACAAAAATTGCTATTAAACTCCTGCTTAAGGTGTTCTAATTTTCTGTGAGCACACTAAAAGCGAAAAATAAATGTGAATAAAATGTATAATTTGGTTGTGTTTCTTTTATGGATACTCTGGTAGCTTAAATGGACTAGCCAGTACTGCCTAAATTTGTATAGTGAAATGATGTGTGCTGTTAGCAGAAAGCTTTGAAAACTGCCTTCCTAAATCCTGGGATGTGTAATACTGTGCATCTTTTGGAGGAATATTGAGCCYTATGCCAAGTAATGTGTAGGGTTCTCTGGCTTTAAAAGGAAGACTGGAAGGCAGTTTGAGAATGTGCAGTGTATTACTCTGTTGTGCAGGCTCCATCTTGGTGTAAGACCAGATGTATCTAGCATGTTAGATTAACGCATCTAGATTGAGGGAAAATAAGGATTTAGTTTTTGGGTGGGACACACTTTTTTTTTTTTTTTTTTTTTTTCCCCTTCCTTCTGTGCCAAGTTGCCTAAGAAAAAAAGCCCTTGGTCGGATGTCCCATTTAAGTCTTCGTATGCCAGCCCAATATAGGTACTTAGATAACTAGCTTGAAAACTGTAGCTAGCCTGGAGGGAGAAAGAGGGGTACTAACACTGCCATTCTGTTCAAAGTAGTTAAAAGCAATATATTTCCCCCCCCCCCCTTTTTTTTTTCCTTAAGTGCTATTCCCAGCTGCAGGTGAGTTACAAAACAGAATTTGAAATTTGTCTATAAAAATAAATCACTTGGTGCTTGCCTTTAATTGTTAGGCTTTTTGGCTAATTTCCAACATACTGCTCAGGGCATATTATGCCTTAATAAAACAGTAGGTTCATGTAAGAAAAGCAGTAGTGGTATTTGGAGGGTGGAAATTGATTCAAGAAAATGTTGCTTCTAAGTTTATGGGAGAAAGTTTAGTGTTACACTTATTTGCTTCCACCTAAATTTTCATCAGAAACTCTTTGGAAGCAATTATGATTCATTTTATGAGAAAATGGCACGTTAGCACCTTGTTCCCTAAAGAACAAAGCCTAAACTGAATGAAGTATAGTAGATTTCCTGCTGAATGCATACTTTTTTATTATTTTTTTTTAATTCAGCTGTCTACCATTTTAACTTTTGGCTTGTATGTACTCTAGTTGCCCTGGTATTTCTCTATAGCTTTAGAAATGTATTGAAACTATGCTATAATTGCTGAGGGACAAAAATAAATGGATGTAAAACAAGATCCTCCACACCAGTGTCATTCTTGGAGTACATGTGTTTGAAGTCTAGTGCATAACTGCTTTGCTAAGGGGTTTTTATAACATGGCTGTAAAAACCTGTTCTGAGACGCATGATGTCTTGGCCATAGAGTCAATGTCTCTTTTTAATAAATATATATATATTTAAATCCAAGAATTCTTAAAGAGAAGTCTGATTTTTTTTCTTTTTTTTTTTGTTTTGTCAAATTGTATGTGTACGTATGAAAAAAATAATACAAAAGTTCCGTTTTTACAGTCTACTAAAACTTTATGTTCTTTCCTCATTTGGCATTGTTTTCTGCAGCGCATCCAGTTCTTGGTGCTTCAGAATAACTTCTACCACAACAGTCAGGCTCCTTGACAAGGACTTTGTAATTCCAAAGCTTGCCTGGACTAAAGCTCTTTCAAAAAGCCTAACATGCATAGAGTTTCAAAAATGTGTCCTAAGAAGATCACTTATGTGGTCTATTATTCTGGTCACAGCTGTCCAGTGTATACTAGAATGTGATTCAAACAACATCAATTTTTGACCATGTAATTTAAGAAGATGGCAATCAGATTGGTTTTGGAAGAGGGAAATTGGAAGAGTTTTAAGCTGCTTCCTCTTTTAAAAGATGATTACAGAATACATTCTCTGTTTCTGAAGGACTGGATGTTAGCACCCATGTAATTGTACAACATCCTTATTTATGTACAAGGGTAGATGTTAATGACTGGTGAGATGATTAATCTTACCAACACAGGATTTTGCCTTTTTTTATTGTATTGGTTACTGTTATGCTTCAATAAAATTGCTAATCATAACAAGCATTGTAATTTCACCAGATTCACTCAGAATTCAATTTTGTTTAGTTTTGTTTTGAGCACAATGCTGTAATATCAATGATGAGGATACTTGGGAGGTGAGGCAGAGGAAGTTGGACCAATGCCTTTTTTAGGTAAAACTTACACTGAGGTCCAGTTTTCCCTGAAAAGAGACTCTAGTGATTCACTCTTTTTATGTTTGTTTATTTAGACAGAACCAAGATCTCCCTGAAGGTCAAAACTTGCTTACCAAAGTCCTTTCAAATTTTGTGCCCATCTCAGATATATCTAAAATAAATTTCAGACTTTGGACAGGGTCTGATTTCAAGTACTTGAGTTCTGTATCTGCCCCTGATTATTATTAATGTGAAATTGCAGAAACTTTGCTTTTGGGCAAGGAAAGGCAGTGAATAAAATGGCAATGACAACAAAACAAAAAACATGTGCAAGTTGATTGGGGAAAACAGTGTTGGCTTTGCCCTCCCTTGGAGTCCATTCACCCGCCTGCATGTGTGCACAACTGCTCTGTAAGAGTCAAATGTCCATATATCAGCTTCTGATGTAACTAAAGACTTCTCTGGGTTGTATTTGATGCAAATGTTGCATGTACAATTGGTTTACTCCTTCATGGTTTAAAGGAGAATGTTTTCTGTGTTTTAAGAAGATTTTGTTATCCAATATTGTTCAAACTTGAACTTCACTTATAGGAGATTAGAAAAATCAAAGGTTTTCATTTGTTTGCTTTTTTAATCTTTCAAATTCTTTTATATTGCTTTAAAAAAACAAAATAAAACAAAATCTAGAATAATACACATTGTAGACTGAGACTGTAATAGCAGTTAACACTTTCCTTGCAAAATTAACCCTGTAAATTCAATAGAACTGTTTGTATAGTGAAAGAGTAGTAAAAGGTCATCATTTATGATACCTGGCTTGTTTCAGTGTTCATTTCTTAGGTTTCAAGAGACTGATGTAAGACTTCTTTTTTTTTTTTTTTTTTTTAACCCAAGTCAGTCATTAGGTTGAAATAAAACAGGTATTTTTGTTTCTGAATATGCAGCAAGTAAAAATAGTGTATTATGTTGATGATACTGTAGACAGCAAGGTTAATTTTTCCTCTAATGAAGACTTCAGCTAATTGATGATGAGTGGGAAGTAGAGCAACTGCTGCTGAGTCCAACAAGTCCAACAGGGCAAGAGAAATCAGGCTAGATAGTCTAGTTACTTGAATAGTGGAACTTAAGAGGTGGTACTACAGTAAAGAAGTGCATGGTTCTTAGATGTCTCTGAATTACCTTGTCCTTGGAAGCACCAGCATGGTGGTGTGCTTCTAAGGCTCATTGCTKATTTAAGGATCTAGAAGAGTAAAAGTAGAGGAGTAGCAATGTGCTTCATGGTGCATTTGCAGAGGCAAACGGTGAAACTGGGTTATTCTCAGCTTGCAGTGCTGCATATTGGGAGGACCAGAGGAGTATGAGCAATGAGATCAAAAGGCTGGTGACAGCTCAGCAGAGGAGTGACCAAAACGTTGCCCAGCAAATAAAATACAGAAAACATTGCCCAGCAAATAAAATACAGAGTCAGGAACATGTAGGTTCAGAATGTGCTATTGGGTACTGCACACCATTTTTGTATAGATGCAAGAGACCTAACTTTAGAAGGTGTTTATTTTGATGCGGGAAGTTATCTGACAGAAGTGATGTACGACTTAAAATTTTCAGAGTGTTTTGAAATCTTAAGGGGGAGTCACAAGCATAGACCTAGCACAGTTTTCCTAGGAGAAAACCAAAGAGCAAAGTTGGAAGGTSAAAGTGCCTA